AGCCCATCTTAGGTTTTTTACGACCACTTTAACAGCATTTATTGCTCTGTCCTCAAGCTGTATTCTATCCTTTACCTTGAACCCAACCCATCAAGTTGTCATGTGGCCAAATAGTGTCAAGTTAGCATTCCTTTTGCCTTGCCAACGGACTAAAATCCTTGCTGCTCTCCTCCAGAAGAATCCTCGCGGGTTTTCATCGGAGTGTTTTCCATTTCTTTTATTTTCTCGTTTCATCTTCACCTAGAATCCAAACCCAGCCTCTCTTCTCTCTCCTTGGTAATCATCATCGCCCTTATATACGTGTCTATGACATTTTCTGGCGTTATTCTTTGTCTCATCCTGATATTGACAAGCTCTCTTCCCCTTTTAAAAAGAGAGCTGTGTGGATTTAAAATGGAGATTTCTAGAGGGACGGCATCACCCAGGGCTTGTAGAACTTCCGAACCCAACTCATCCCAATTCAACCGATCCCAATTCAACCCAACCCAACTCAACCCAACCAATTGAAACAGAGCAGCTATCGCAATACTTCATCGCGGAAAGGAGTGAGGTTGGTGGCCAGAGAGACCCAAGAGAGGGCCAATAGATATTGGATAAGGGCCTAGCCATCTAATGTGGGCACTTTTAATTTCTGCAATAAGTGTTGTTCTTCGTATAGCTGCTACAGCTCGCGGTTAGTACATATTCTTCATTCGTACGGTATATTTGGGTTTTGCTTCTTCGCGACAGCAATCGTGACTTCACTAATATGTTCTATTTCCAGACTTAATCCCTCCTTCGTCTCTATGTGGCTGCGCACAGCTCTCCACTAAGTCTTCTTCTGTCTAAATGATGTGCTGATCTATTGAGTAGTGTTCACCCAGGGTTAATACTCTTCTTTGTCGCCATGGCCAAATTAAAAAATATACAAGAAAGGGAATAGCTTGAATCTATAGCTCTATTAAAATTTAAAAAATAAATAATTTGGGAAACTTTTTATATGAAATACATGTTCTTTTTAAGTTCATGATTTGCTTTGAAGTTAATTCTTTTTAAAGCTAAAAGCCGTTTTAATTAAGCAGCGGCATCTGTTACACTCGAAATTTAATTATCAAAACCCTCCGAAATGGACAGTGCACAAAATAAACCGTATTGAAATATGAACGTTTCTAAATAATTCGTTAAAGAAATGATTTTTGGTTTAATTTAATAAAATAAATCGAAAATAACATGATGATAATTTACTTCGTAACATTCATATTGCCCTTAATTTGTATTCGAATTGATATTGGAAAGTTCCGAACTACACTAATACAATGCCTGGTTAATCCAATTATAGTTCGAGGCTCTCTCCGCGTGACAAATAACTCAATTAATCGACCATAAAGCAACAAAATTGTCACAGAGGTTGATGTACATTTTAATTAATTCCTATAAACGTTAAGTTACTATCGATGTCCTTTAATTCTTTACGTCTTCTCTGAATCTCGCTTAAAGTGGCTGGAAAATATTTACTCGTCGGATTAAACTCTGGCGTTCGTTGTGTGTAAACTGTTACCTTCTAGCTATTTCTTCCGGCACCCTCTCAAACCTAAACTAGAAACTTCTCTATCTTCTAATCCGTCGCGGTCGATAACGTCGCGTTCCAACGACTTTGCAAGTCACGGAAAGTCGTTGTATCAGATTAATTGAGTTTTCAGAACCGCTTCTCGGACGTATACAAAAGGAAAATTTGTAGGGATACTAAATATAGAATGACAAGAGGTTGTGATAAGGGTTAATTTTATTTTGTGGGTATTTTAATGATACATAAAATTGTTTTAAAAACAAGTGATAGTAAATTAACTCAAAGTTTCCGAACTAACTTGTCCAACATGTTACCTGAGTTGAGCCAAGTTCATTTTGATACTGATGTGGAACATTTCTGTTAATTGAATTCTCATTTCACGTTGAATTTTCAAACTATGTTACATTAACGTAAAGATTCTTTCTTATTGTTAGTAAAAGATGTTCGTGATTCTAAAAATCTTTTATAGATGCGGAAATGCATTAGATCTCCGTTTGTTCGGGTTAGGTCCTTTGATAAAAATACAGTGTTTTAGCTCTCTTTTGTTCGCTCTGACCGAGTTACTTCAGTCGTCGAGTGTAAATATGGTAATGTTATCAGGAGAATGGAGCGAACCGATAAACTCGGACGGATGTAAATCACAGAGCAAGCTTGTATCGACTTTGTAAAACCGCAACGTAAGGAAAATTCAAACTTTCAACTCAATTCGAACTTTAAAAGGAACCAAAAAAAAGTTACACTTTAAAAATTTATCGATTTCCAATATATCGATTTCGAATTTATTGAATTGGCGATAAAAGAAAAGAAAAAAAAGAACGTTTTAGTAGGTGAGATAGATTTACGATGAGCGAATTAAACTCGATGAAATATTGGAACGGCATGGAAATTTTAACCGATTATTTATCAGCAAATATTTACCCCGCATTTTCATTACCTACGATTCCAAACATATGTGGCAATAAAAATTTTAATTCGTTTAAATATTTCAAATACTCTAAATACAATTTGAATTACGAAGTTTACTTATTTCGCCTCACTTTAAATCAACCGTTTCGATACAAGTACCATAATCAATATTTGATGAAGGTCGACGTAATACATTCGAATTCCCGAATAATACGATTCAATCGAGTTAAGTTAAGCCGATTGAAGAAAATTCGATTTCCAAGTTAGACGTCTCTACATGCATATGCAATATTCAGAAAGTGGTACACGAAACTTATACAAAATTGCCGAATAATAACTAAAACTAGAACTAACACTAGACTGAGAACTAGAAACATTCGGGTTTTGCCGCACGTCTCTCAAGGCGGCTAAACCCGAATGATTCTAGTTCTAGGTCTTGTGTTAGTACTAGTGATAGTGTAAAACTAGAACTAACACTAGACCGAGAACTAGAAACATTCGAATTTAGTTCCACGTCTCTCAAGACGGCTAAACTCGAATGATTCTAGTTCTAGTATTTAGAATTTTTCTGAAATGCCATCGTTCGCCGAAAAATATTTTTGGGAAAAATTTATAAACCTATATAGAATGTACCCATGTTTATGGGACTCAAAATCAATAAATTATATCAACAAAAACTGAAAAACTAATGCCGTAAATGAGCTTGCAAAATTGTCTAGCAGTTTAGCTCTCTGCCAGCAATATTTAATCTTCTACAAGCAGTATTAGTATTCTGGAAACAATTTGTAGTCTGTTGGTAGCAATACCTAGCCTTGTATAAACAATATCTATCTTTTTAAGCAGTTTATAGTATTGTATAGGTAGTATTTGTCTTCCTCAAGGAATTTTTGGTCCTCTATAGGAAGTATTTAGTCTTCTGCAAGCAGTATTAGTATTCTGGAACCAATTCCTTGGCTATTGGTAGCAGTAATTGCCTTCCATCGACAATATCTATCTTCTGCAAACAGTTTCTAGTATTGTATAGGTAGTATTTGTTTTCCACAAGGAGTTTTTAGTCTTCTCCCGACAGTATTTACTCTTCTACAAGTAGTATTGGTATTCTGCAACCAATTTGTAGTCTATTTGTAGCAGTACTTAGGTTTCTATAGACAATATCTATCTTTTTAAGCAGTTTCTAGTATTGTATAGGTAGTATTTGTCTTCCACCAAGATTTTTGGTCCTCTATAGGAAGTATTTAATCTTCTGCAATGAGTATTAGTATTCTGGAACCAATTCCTTGGCTATTGGTAGCAGTAATTGCCTTCCATAGACAATATCTATCTTCTGCAAACAGTTTCTAGCATTGTATAGGTAGTATTTGTCTTCCGCAAAAAGTTTTTAGTCTTCTACTTTCAGTATTTAGTATTCTACCAGTAGTATTGGTATTCTGCAACCAAACGAATACGAATGCGAGAACAGTGTTCGATGGCAAATTCCTTTAGTCTTCGGCGAATTGTCCATGCACTCACATTTATACCTCGGACCTGTCGAAGCTCATTTTTCGTCTGTACTGACGTTAAATGATGATAAGTAAAGCTATAACACGTATAAATCTGTCATCAACAGTAGTGGTTTTTCGATTTCTACTGCTTCCTGCCCTTCTCTTATTTCTTCCAGTTAGTGTAAAACGTTCTACCACTCTTTTAATAGTGGAGCGATGAACATGAAGGTTTCTTGCAACATATTCATAATTTTCAGTACTTAAACCCATGGTACTAATCTTCTGTACAAAAAATCACTGTCCAACTGTCATTAGAACAACAATGAGCAAAGTCACCTTATTAAAAAGTAACATATCTAAGTAAATTGTTAGTGACAAAATCATTTCGCTCTTAAAAATGAACGAATGCACTTAGAGACATGAACAAAAAAAAGAAAATGTAGGGAACGACTGGTTTTTAACAAAAATTATAATTTTGAAAGCATTTATACACTAAATTATTCCACAGGTGTTTTAAAATTAGGATCCTAGAACGACGTTTCAATTAACCCTGTATACCCAGTAAATGACCAGCATTTAACAAAAGGCTAGATATTGAACATGAAATTCGACATTTTTATCTACAGTTTGCTGAAAAAATCACGAAAATTGAACGAAAAATAAAAAAATTTTTTATTACACCTGAGTGTAGTTTTAGGTTTTGTGTTAGTTCTAGTGATAGTGCTAGTGTAAAACTAGAACTAACACTAGACCGAGAACTAGAAACATTCGGATTTAGCCGCACGTCTCTCAAGACGGCTAAACCCGAATGATTCTAGTTCCAGGTCTAGTGTTAGTTCTAGTTTTATTACAATAAAAATATGCAGCGAAGAGTTATCTTATGCTAATTAGCATTAAGTACCACTGTTATTAGAACTAACATTAGACCTAGAACTAGCAACATTCAGGATTTCCCGCCCGTCTCTTAATACGGTTAAACCCGAATGATTCTAGTTCTAGGTCTTGTGTTAGTTTTAGTGATAGTATTAGTAGTAACTAGAAACATTCGGTTCATTAACTTAGCTTACTTTGTAGATTACTGAAGTTCTCTATCTGTAGATTCTTGATTGGATTGGAATAATTCTTCGGAATGGTATACTGAATTAATTGGATCAGGAACCAGTTAATTTTCTTGTTTACTATTACAGGTGAATAATTTTAATTCAAATAATCTTCTTATTTAACTTATTAAATAATAAGTTTACTATTTTTGAGGTTATATCACAATGGTGACTGGTAATTGACAAGTAACCTAACTTTTATTTTGGTTCTTTAAAAGATCGCGGACAAAATTAGCATGCGCCCCCCATCGCGTTCGAAATCACACTAAAATCTGTTAGTCTCGTTTGTTTACTGCTACCACGTTTTAAATAACGTTTTCTGATTGGTTAAAGTCTTCACCTTGAAATTCGTTATTTAAATTTCTCCGGTATCGCCAACTTTGAAATGTCAAATGTCACCAATTAAATTTAATCAAAAATTATTGAAATTTCTATTTTAACAATATTTATGTATTAAATGTTGTAGTTTTGTCGTTTTAACTTTGTTTGTACTGATTTCGAAACATTTTCTTTTAGATTTCAACGTCCAGCTTCAAAAATATATTCAAATATTTAATCTACGGATTTTCGTCCAATTCTTCATCAAGACTTCCATATGATGTTCTTGATATGCTAAGATTATCTTTTTCAATAGTTTCAACCGAACAAACATGAAATATAATAAGAAATTAATTAAAAATTAAATTGGAGGTTATATCACTGTCAAAATTCTACAAAATTATTACTTCGTATTGACTTTACAGGGTTAAATGGAAACAATCACTGATTCGTTTATTAAATTCGTTATTTTTTTTCTGATTACAAAAATGTAGGGTTTCTTATTGTTTTAGAATTAAGTTAAAAATAAACTTTTTTTTTAGTGTCGTCAAAGCAATTAAATTTACAGTTTCCTGTAAATTATAACTAAAAATTAAAAAAAACATATTTCTGATATTTGAAACAAATACATTTGTTGAACTATTTAATTTGTATTTGTTTTACACAAAAGTTGGAATAGATTGCATTATTTCACATTTTTTATTAATATTTAATATTATTAAATGACTTAATAAATTATTGATAGATGGCGCTAATATATATTTCAAAAATATTCAAACATTTTCTGAAGTGTCAAATTAAAAATCCTGTTTTTTAAGATGGATTACGAAAATTACGAAAAGTTTAACATGTTAGAATGTTACATATCAGACAATAAAGTAAATTTTATATAAATTTTTAGTAGAATAATTTTTAGTTATAGTACAGTAATTTACAGGAAACTGTAAATTTAATTTCTTTGTACAGGGTACATGGATTAAATACAATAAAAAACGTAAACGGTTAACAATACATAATGAGAGGGAGAGAGGGAAGTCTCGTCACGTATAAATGATGCAAGACCATGAAGAGGAATATCGTCCAGATGTTCTAAGATCCATCGGGAGCACTAGGGAGAAGAAGGATGTTAGAAGAGAAGATGAGGTGCGAATCACCCACTTCGTTCCCGGTACGAGGTAAGCAGATAGAGATGTTCTATGATTCATTATGAAGACAGTAAGTAGAGGAAAACGAAGTTGAAAATGAAAGAAACAGATGGAGGAGGCCAACTTTGAAGAAATGTCTTTCTTGGTGTCAAAATCCTAGGCCAGATATCCGTTTGCAGATTTTCTCCAACCTCGTAAAAAGAAAGGTTGGGTTGATTTCAATGGACTAGAGGCAGGTGCTGGGGATAAGGCGGAAGGAAGTAGATGGATGGGGAAATAGGAAGAATTTATAGACAATCTGGATATACCTAAGTTATTATTGTTGTCCAAGCATCAGCCACAAACGATATAGATTTAATTAGTCAAAAAGCAAGAAAAAAACACAAAGAATTAACGGAGATGATTTCAGCTATACAACTATTTACCAAAAAGGTAGAGTTTTAGGAACAAATCTGCAATACCAAGCACTTTCCAGTATTTTCAGAATAAACATCCTTTCCATCATGTGGAAATAATTTCTAGGTCAAAGCTTGCTTTCAAATCCCGCGTTAAAATTTTTAATGAGACATCACTGATGGCAAAATTAACTTCTTCACCTTTCACGGTAATTAACATTGAGAAATTTTCAACTTCGCTTTGGCGAAGAAAACACTGCGATAGAAATGGAAGTTATTTTAAATAATTTTGTTATGCGGAGTTGGCATGAAAATGAAAAAATAAGTATAAAAGTTGAGATTTTGTCACAAAATTTTGAGTGACACATCATCTTATAAACCAACTGAAAAGCAATCTCGCGAATGGTGCAACCAAGTTTTGGAGCTTAAAAGTTGCCCTACCTTTAGTCTATAACGTTATTACGAAATTTATGATGACATTAATCCGTCCACAATCTTGCGGAGTTTAATGCCGGGTTAACACCCAACGTCACATAATCTTAAAGCTTTTATCAAAGTTATAAATAAGACTTTAGTTGAAAAAGAAATTTTTAAAAAAATTTTAAATTCAATTGATAAACGAGGTATTTTGTTATTTTGTTGTTTTGTTATTTTATTTTTTTTATTTCAGCGCGTTGTTTTTGAATAAATAAAACATAAACACATCCGGGAAAGTTAACAAGATTTTATTTTGTAATTTTACGAGCGGCACAAAAACACATTTAATGAACGGCTTTTTTCGTTTTGCGTTAAAGTATTTTCAGTTTAACTGAAACGATGATATGCGTCCTGAAAATAAGCTATTGATCCTTTTTTTTCAAACCTCAACCGGTTGCGGTTGACCTTAACAGTTTAAATTATAAAAGTGATCTATCAATGTCATGATCAAGGTTTATCAAATTATAAGGTAATTTTAACGTACATTGATTTTTTTTTTGGTTATTAAAAAAACGTTATACTTACAGTTTTGAAAGTTAAAATTCATATTTGTGGAGCTTATTTTAAAATTAACACAAGAAAACGTTTTTTTTTTTAATGTTAAATTGAAATTTCGTGTGTAAAGGTAAAGGTTGGAGCTGCTTTCCGGCGCGAAGCTCGCGTGATAACTGTTTTGATATCGAAACTGCTGTTGCTTCAATTTCAAACTTTGCAGGATGCGCGCCAACCAAGGGCTCTCGTTTCACCCCACCAGTTTTCTCGTGCGACAGAATGGCGCAGGACCTATATATGAAGGGCAAACGGAAAACCTCGCGAGAGTAACCGGAATACGAGTCCCCCCAAATATTTGCCGGGGCTACAAAATTCATTGGGAGATCGCTTTATTTATTTTCTCCACTCAGTATGAATACGTAATATGTTACAGATGTAAACAAGCCGAATCGAAAACAAACACTTTCCCAAAGGATTTCTCGTTATGGCGGTTAAGCTTTTAAATAAACATAAATGTTTATATAGAAACTAGTTCGTTTAAATTAAAGATAAAACAATTTTTCCTTAATTAAAAGGGGGCAAAAAAAATTAAAAAGAATTTTAATTAACTCTCCGGCACCTCCACCATTTCTTTAAAACAACTTTCACATTAAAAATTTCTCATCATTTTAAACGAAATCATTATTTGTACTAATTTAGTATTTAAATATATTCAGAATAATTTATTGATTTAAACTTTCAATACGTTCCAATTAAATTAAGTGTGATGAAGCGTCTGAATATGCCCAGAAACTTTCTCTATTAGTTCTAGTTTTTATTGTATTGTTATTCAAATTTAATTTATTTTGTCTACAAAGGTAGTACAATGCGTTGCAAAAGAAAAGAACATAGACCAATAGAAAACACAGTACAATGCAAAATCTCTAGACTACAAAGTGCGAACACTACCAGATTCATTGAGTTATATTGGAGATTTGATTGATGTTTTAACTCTTTGTGTCCCAAGAAGTCAAAAAATTTGAAACTTTGTGACAGAATTAAAAAGCTATCAAAATACACTCAGTAAAGGCCATTGGAATCAATTTTTCGCATAATCTAAGTGTCAAAAAAGATGTTAATTTAAAATTTTCTGGAAGCCGCGTTTATCGAAATTAAGAAATGAAACTTATTTTAAATTGAAGCTTAAAGCTTTCTGTTTAAATCGATGTATAATAATCGTTGGGTTGAATTAGAAAATATTGAGAAGAAGAGTATTGAGTTAAAACTAACATTTTCGTATAACCAAAAATTGTCAAAAAAGATGCTAATTTAAAAATTCCTGGAAGCCGTATTTATTGAAATTAAGGAATGTGACTTATTCTAAATTAAAGCTCAAAGCTTTCTCTTTAAAATGATGTATAATAATTGATGGGTTAGATTGGAAAATTATAAAAAAAAAAAAATTTGAAATAAAGCTTACATTTTCGTATAACTTAAAAGTGTCAAAAGAGATGCTAATTTAAAAATTCCTGGAAGCTGTGTTTATTGAAATTAAGGAATGAAACTTATTTCAAATTAAAGCTCAAAGCTATCTCTTTAAAATGATGTATAATAATTGATGGGTTGGATTGGAAAAATATTAAGAAAAAAAATGTTGAAACAAAACTTACATTTTCGTATAACCTAAAAGTGTCAAAAAAGATGCTAATTTAAAAATTCCTGGACGCCGTATTTATTGAAATTAAGGAATGAGACTTATTCTAAATTAAAGCTCAAAGCTTTCTCTTTAAAATGATGTATAATAATTGTTGGGTTGGATTGGAAAAATATGAAGAAAAAAAATGTTGAAACAAAACTTAGATTTTCGTATAACCTAAAAGTGTCAAAAGAGATGCTAATTTAAAAATTCCTAGAAGCCGTATTTATTGAAATTAAGGAATGAGACCTATTTTAAATTAAAGCTCAAAGCTTTCTCTTTAAAATAATGTATAATAATTGATGGGTTCGATTGGAAAAATATTGAGAAAAAAAATGTTGAAATAAAGCTTACATTTTCGTATAACCTAAAAATATCAAAAAAGATGCTAATTTAAAAATGCACCGAATAGATGACTACAGTTTAAATTGAGTGTTTAAAAGTACCGGTACTTTACCGTCGGGACACAAAGAGTTAAAAGAAGAGGATCAGACCGTAGAGTATTTAAAAAGTAAAATAAGCTTGTTCATATTGAAAGATGAAGAATCCACAAATTGTGACCAAAAGTCAAATGCCTTTTTTACAAAGAAACAGAATTAAGAAGTGTGTTATAAATGTGGGAAACCAGGTCAAAGCTTTCCCTTTAAAATGATGTATAATAATTGATGGGTTTGTCACTGGTGAGAGATAAATCAACTTGCTTCAGGAGTTAGTCCACAAATTTCAGAGATGTTTTGTAATGACGATGAGCTCATCTCGATGCAGCTTTTCTAGGCACATGGGTTGGACGAAGGGGTACCATTAAATACTCTGCGCGTTCTCCAGACCTTGGACTTCTTTTTGTGGGAATATCTCAAAGACAAACTTTATCACACCAAACCAAGAACAGTCGATGTATTGAAATTGGAAATTGAAAGACAATGTCTCGATATTCCTAATGACGTTTTCAGCCCTTTCCTTGATCCATCTCGGGCACTTTCATTTTCTGCTCTCTTGTGCTTGTATAAAAAAATCCTGAATCCAACCATGACCCGAGATAACCTGACTCAAATGATAGTTGATACTCTTTCTTTTGACCTCCTTGAAGCTGCCTCGATTTAAGATGGAGATGTGTATAGGCAAGACATAACCCAGGGCCTGTAAAATTTCTGAACCCAACCTAACTATGTGGTTGTCGTTGTATTCGATGACTAGTATTCGTTTCTCTCGTTAACCACAAGTCCAGCTCTTCTTGATTCTTCTTCAAACTGCGCATAGCTCTCCATTAAGTCCTCCTGTATCTTTGTCAGTAAATCAACATCATCAGCATAGGCTAAATGATGCGCTGATCTATTCAGTAGTGTTTACCCAGGGTTAATACTCTTATTTCTCGCCAGGGCCAAATTAAAAAATATACAAGAAAGGGCTTCGTTTTGTTTCAATCCATGGTTTTGCATTAACCGTGCGTCTGAAGACAATCAAGAAGAAAGAAAATGTTATTTTTTTGTAATCTTATTTGAAAGAAACGTCAAACAAGAACTCATGTTAAAGATTTAAAACACTTCGTAGAATTCTGTATAAAGCAAATAATGCCGTTATCATATTGCAAAAATGTTGTCCACGATGATTGACATTTGTAAACAAAACTTATCTTACCTAACTTCCCTTCACTGTGTAATTCACATTACGAAAGAAACTTTATGGTATAATTAATATTTGTAAACAAAACTTACCTTACTTAACATTCCTTCACGGTCTAATTGACACAAAAAGAAAACTTCACGGTCTAATTTGCATTATAGAAGAAAACTTCATGGTATAATTAATGTTTGTAAACAAAACTTACCTTACCCAACATTCCTTTACGGTCTAATTGTCATTACAAAAGAAAACTTCACGGTTTAATTGACATTTCAAAAGAAAACTTCACGGTCTAATTGGCATTATAAAAGAAAACTACCGGTCTTAACATTTCTTCACGCTTTAATGGGGTTTCAAAAGAAAACGACCTGTCTTACATTCCTTCACGGTCTAATTAACATTATAAAAGAAAACCTCACGGTCTAATTGACATTACAAAAGAAAACTTCATGGTATAATTAATGTTTGTAAACAAAACTTACCTTACCTAACATTCCTTCGCGGTCTAATTGACATTACAAAAGAAAACTTCACGGTCTAATTGACATTACAAAAGAAAACTTCACGGTCTAATTGACATTATAAAAGCAAACTACCGGTCTTAACATTTCTTCACGCTTTAATGGGGTTTCAAAAGAAAACTACCTGTCTTAACATTCCTTCATGGTGTAATTGATATTACAAAAGAAAACTTCATGGTGTAATTGGCATTACAAAAGAAAACTAACCTTACTCAACATTCCTTCACGAATGATTGACGTTTGTAAACAAACTTAATTGCTCAACTTTTTAGCTAAAAGATCAACATCAAGCTTCTTAGGTTGAATTAAGTCAAAATTTATTCAAATAAATTTCTTTATGTAAAGTAGTCCAAACGATTATTAAAATAAAGTTGCTTACTCCTAACAAGAACTAATTGCAGTAAGCGACAGCTTTAAAAAGCTCGGTTTATACACGCAACAGGAATATCATTTGAGAGCACAAAGTTTAACCAGAGGGAAAACTTGGGCAACTTGTTTTTACTTGAACGAGCAAGGAGCTGTTTCTTATGCGGATTAACTTTTATCCTTCGTAAATTATTCATCCAAATTAAATTAATTTCATTAACATAAATAGCTATTTTAGTTGTAACATTCAATTATCGATAAATAATTGTTTGATATCGGTTTATTTTGTATCATATCTGTTTAATTTTATGACAGGCGAATAATTTCGCGGTGTGAGTTTTCCATCAAAACCAATAAACGATGATTTATCACAAAACGAGGCAATTACGTGCACCATTTAGCGCATAGTTCGTGACCAATATTTCCCTTCCATCTGTCGCAATTACGCATATTAATTGGAGGCAATTTGTCTCAAATGGAAACACAAAGAGGGGTCACTAAATAATGCCATAAACACACCTATTATAAAGTTATTTTAAATTATTAAAAAAAATCTTTGATTCAATCGATATTGTTATCATAGTTATCTTCTCTGCTAAAACTTTAACTCCTCCCTATCGTTGATCGTTATTAGTATTAGCAGATAATCTGCATACCCAAACAACTTTGCACACTCATCCTTAATTCCGAACACCTCATCATTCTATGGAATACTCCCAAAATATTTCCAAATCAGGAAGTCTCTCCAGCATCAACTTCCAATTCAAGTTATCAAACGTCTTCGGTTTGTGCAAAAAAGATAACAACAAAGAAATTAGGTACTAAGAAATCTCTCCTGTATCAAGCTATGATTGAAGATCTTAAGGAACATATTTGGCATAACTGCTCAACTAACATAACTTTTCAGCACTCGAAATCAGTTTGCTTAACGTTTGCGGAATTGTGCGTGTCTGTGCAAGTTGAAACGTGTATTACTGTTGGATGTATAAAAGTAGGTGCAGCTGTTTTTCATTCAGTTGGAATAGAAGTTGGATTGAGTGAACTTGTGAGATACATATGATAATGGCGTCAAAAAGGAATGTGAAAAGCTTGAGATTTGGTGATCCCGGTTATGAAGAAATATTGGTGCAGTGGGCAGCTGAATGTGATGATCTGCCTTCTGAAGAAAGTGATGTGTCAGAAGCAGAAAATTATGATACAGAAATTTCGAATTGGTTCAGAGGATGATGTTGATGATATTAGTAAGCCATCAATGATCGGTTACATTGCTCCAAGTGATCTGCTATGGAGTTTGGAACCTCCAGCAAAAAATAAAATTCAACCACACAACATTATTCGGCGTGCGCCAAGACTAGCAACGAAACATATGGCTGCAACACCAAAAAAAGCGTTTCAGTTATTTGTAACTCCAGTTATTGTACAAGAAATTGTGAACTGTACTAATTTAGAGGGCAAACGTGTTTATGGAGCAAAAGGAAAACCGTGGAAAGATGTAATTCATGCGGGAGTTGACAGAAGCTGGGATGTTCCTGCGAGAGAATTATTTTGTGATGAATTTGAATATGAGGTAGCAATGGTGTCCTACATTTGGGATTTATTCATTCAGCAATGCAAAACCTGCGTCATACCTGATACTAATGTAACTATTGATGAACAACTCGTTGGGTTTAGAGATAGATGCACATTCGTTCAATATATGCCAAGTAAACCGGCAAAATATGGAGTTAAAATATTTTGGATGTGTGAATCTACGTCTGATTATTTTGAAATAGTACAAACTCTTGTGCGTGGCATTCATAATTCTGGTCGCAATCTCACGATAGACAATTTCTTCACTAGTGTTCCGCTAGCAACTTATCTGTTGCATAAAAATATTACTGTTGTGGGTACACTACGTCAAAATAAGCGTGATATTCTGAAAGAAATGAAAGCCTCAAAAGATCGTGTTGTCTACTCTGCATTGTTTTGTTTTCAAAATAACGTATCCATGGTAAGTTACGCACGTAAAAAGAACAAATGCGTAATTTTACTAAGCACCATGCACCACGACGCATTTATCAATGACGACGCTAAGAGAAAGCCTGAAATCATCTCTCATTATAATAAAACAAAGGGCGGTGTTGATCTTGGATCAAATAGTGTCGATATACACGTGCAAGAGGCAAAGTAAACGATGGCCCATGACATTTTTCTTCAACATCATTGATGTTGCAGCACTCAAAGCATATACAGGGTGTCCGCTGAGGTATCCGAGAAACTTCGTATATGAATTCTATGATCAATTTTAAGCATAAATGATTCTAATCACTTTTCTCAAATTCCAAACGGTTGTTGAGATATCGAGATTTGAAGTTACCAGATCGTATGGATAGATACTGTGATAATATGTGTATTCGTCTTTCGAAAATGAATAAAGATACTTTAATTAAATACAATAAATAAATAACAATCTTTTATAGAAAATAGAAAAAAAATACTTTACAAACAAAATTATTGAAACAAAAAAAAATATCTAACACGAGACTCTACAACAAAAAATAACGAAAGTAAACGATCTCAGGGTTTGTTTTCTAGGGCTCATGTAAACGAAACACAGTTGCTCATGTTTTAAAAAAAAAATTTAAGTTAATCTATAACTTTCAGCTCTAAAACTTCTTAAATAAATTGATTCTGATAATTGAAATAATCAAAGTGATCTGAAATAATTGATTTTGATTCGCTCTGGATTACACACGAGGTAAGTGAGTTATTTTTTTAGAAATGGTATATCGAAAATAAAAAAAAAATCTTAACTTCTTTGGTTTTACAGATGTTGGTGGAATTGATTGAAATCTTGATTCCTCCCTGGTTTGAACTGCTCCTTTTTCCCCCTTGGTGGAATGTGCTGGTACCCCCTTGGTGGCTTTCCGGAAAAACTATTCCGATGTCTTCTTTCCCAGGTTGGTTATCGTACTCTTCTTAATTAATTTTAGCTTCTTTTCTTCTCCCTCAATTGTGAATTTCTTTGGTTATGTTTTTTCTTCAGAAATTTATCTTCGTAGGATTTCACGAGCGTTTCGAAATAGATGTTTACTCAATGATGATCAGGAAGCGAATCTTAGCGTCCTCGTTATTCATTTTTCACCCTTTTTTCGGCAAAAATCGACAAAAACTTCTCTTTTTTGTCCATCACCCTCTTTGATACCACAAGAAAAAGTGTAAAAAATTTGTATTTCTGAGCGCCATCTCTTATTGACATTTGGTTTTTCTTCCAAATTTTCAAAAATTACTTTTTAAATAAACTATATTTATTGAAATCCTTCAATGTCTGAATACTCTGAATTATTTCATTCCCCTTTGACACAATTTTTCACATTAATTCTTCTTTAATTCCAAAATTTATATTCCGTTTCTTTCAAAATCTTCACATTTTTAATTTTCAATATTTCGGTTTTAAACTGATTAAAATCACTTGAATCTGATGTAATTCATTATAAACTTTATGTTTTTAGGTATTTCAAGAAGTTTTTTGGCTGTAATCACCCATAAATTGAATACTTTAGATTTGGAGGTTATGTTTCGTTTTTTTTTTGTGGCCTCTCTTTTTAATTAAATACAAGAATATTTCTTAATCTACGACGGAAATACGAACGGATTTATCATCCTCGGTATATCAACTTTGATATCAATACGTGAGTTGTTCTTTATATTTTAATTATAATATTAATTTGAACGATTTGAAGAAGTACTAATAAACTCTCTTGGCTCTCGATTTACAAGGATTTTTCTACGGAATGTCATTATTTCCTCTTTATTGTAATTATTTCTTATAACAAAACTATTGTTTATTAATTAATTAATAAAATTATGAGTGGAACCCAATATTATTACAATACTAAACAGTAAATAACATGTTGCTAGGTAATTGAATAATTAGCCATTTAATTGATATTAGAATAAAATTGTTGACATTCAGGTGTCATCATTGTTATCAATTGTGCTAAAATCATGCCTGCCACTTATCCACATGAAGACTATGAGATATTACAACGGTAGTACCACCGCCTCAGTTAGGGAATATCAACGATGATACCCAAACCGCCGTCTTCCAGAGAAGCAAACTTTCGGTAGAGTCTTCACAACTCTTCGATTAAGAGGTGCGTTCCCTAAATCGACTTGTGAAAGAAAAATTAGGCGAAGAAACAATGCTGCAGAAGTGCTTGAGACTGTTGAAAATGATGATGGTACTAGTACGAGAAGAATTTCTGTACTTACTGGACAAGCTAGGACGGCTGCGCATGACGCTTTGCGGGAAAACCATATACCGTATTTTCTCGAATCTTATCCGCACTCGAATCTAATCCGCACCCCGATTTTAAAAATGCATAATGGTAAAAAAATTTAGTTTGCGAATGTAATCCGCATCTTTCTGTGAGCAATTCGACAACAATAAAATAATGCGATGCTTGTTGTTAACCATAAATATATAATAATAATAATATATTTATGCATAGTATATATACATAAAATTATTATAAATTAAGCAAGCACAAATTAGGCGGAGTTCAGGTGCAGCCATAACAGTACCTGCTCTTCCACTCAAACCTAATAAAACTAATTCTAAATATACAAGAGAGAAAAAGAAAAGAAAAACGAAAAGAAAAAGACCCGATGGTGAAATCATAATTAATTAGGTACTAAGCGTAAACTGCCCGATCCCTGTCGCCCTACAATGCATTCTGAATTTGAGACAAGCGGCCCTTCACTCGGTGACGAAACAACCTTGAAGAAGTGCAACATTTTATAGTTGATGGCAAATCATTAAGAATATGTGTTATTTGGTATGAAAAGCATTTCTTAAATAGCTGGTGATGATGTATCGGCGGGGTAAGAGTGCCCTTGAATCGAATATTCAAGGTATGAACATCGGTACGAAATTTTATTTTATTGAACAAGTATGGAGGTTTCTTCAAAGTAATTATATTAAAGAACAAAACCGCCGAATGAAGTATGCGCCTGTTTTTCATGTTGAGCCAACTCAAATCCTTTAATTTGTGCGAAACATGCTGACGTCCCCGTAACCCAAATATCAAGCGCAAGCAAGAATTTTGAATTTTCTGAATTTTTTTCGTATTACTATACGAAATACACGGATCATACAATGTATCACAATAATTAAAATGCGCTAACACCAAGGCCTCGCACAAAAGCACCCTTGTTCTACGATTGAGGAACGACCGACCGCCATAAATCAGCTTAAGAGCAGCATACGCGGAAGCAGTGCACTTATTGATGTGTTTATTAAAGTTTAAATTTTCGTCCAATAAGACACCCAAGTTTTTCACACAATCCTTCAGCGGCAATACTTGATTGTTGACAACTATCTTGACCCGATCCCGAACAGAATTGTCACTTATCACCTTTCTTGGCCCAAATAAAATCAGCTCTGTTTTAGCAGCTTTAAGACAAAGGCAGTGACGCCTATCATCGACATCCGATGACAGAAAAGATATATATAACTGGGTGTCATCTGCGTAGAAATGATGATTACAACTTTTTATGTATCTGTTAAAATGCGATGTGTAAAGTGAGTATAGCAGTGGACCCAGAATTGAACCCTGAGGAACACCGGACGTTGTCGAAAGATGAAACGCGATAATTCACCTTCACGCACTGCATTCTGCCCGTCAAGTAACTGTGCAAGAACCCCGATGCAAGATCATCAAACCCAATGTAGCGAAGCATGGCATAAATCATGTCATGATTGATAGTATCAAAAGCCTTTGAATAATCTAAGAGACACATCAAAGTCAATTTTCCTTGGTCTGTGCTTCGTATGACATCGTCCACAATATTCGATAGAGCTGTATTACAGCCATAATGCTTTCTAAAACCTGACTGTGTAGGCGGTAAAAGGTTGTATTCTGTAACATAGTCCTTTAATTGTAATTCGGTTACTCTTTCTGTAATTTTAATACTAGCAAAGGTTGGACAAACTACAATTTCCCAAAAGCTCCTAATGATTTTCAAAAAAATTTCAATTTCTCTCAAACTGTGAATGCCGACGAAATGGCAGTATATCTGGATATGTCTCCCAATTTTCTTAGAAACGAGTGGTTGCGAAAAATTGTGCATAACATTAGTATGCTAGCAGTAACAAGTGATAGGGAAAAATTGCTGTCATTATTAATATTGAGAAAAAAACCATTCTGAAATCCGAAAGACTTCCCGAATGACGTCTTAGTTAGGGCACAATAAAAGGATGAATAATGGAAAAGCTGATGATGGAATGGTTAAGAGAAGTATGGAGTCGTAGACCAGGAACACACATGGAAAACGATCCCTGAAAACAATATTATAACATCATTTAAGAAGTTTTGTATAACCACTGCATTGGACAGATCCGAAGATGACGTAATATGAGCAGAAAATGATACATAAAAATGTAAATATCGTTCTAAAACCCTTAACAGCGTTATTGTTATAATGCGATTTTATTTTACTATTTTCCAAATCGCAACTATACGACTGCGAATCTAATCCGCACTCGATTGTAATCCGCATTTGATTTTAGAGCATATAAAATTTGTAAAAAGGGTGCGGATTAGATTCGCGAAAATACGGTAGTGGGATTCAATACGTACCTTTTTTGTATCTTGACATTTTCTCCTAAAATTGTTAGTTTGATCACAAAAAAATAAAATAATATACAGACTCAAGTGAATTAATTCAGAGATTGGTTATTATTAGTCAAAGAAATTAAGTTATGTCAAATTAACAATTTGTTAGTTGGAAAATGCAAGAGATAAGAAAGTTGCAGATTTTTCCCTTAATTTTAGAAGGCTATAACTTGGAGGAGAAGGGGTTTTGAACAAAAAGTTATATGAAAAACACCCCGTAATTGTCGCTGAAAAATCATCCCTTGAAATCTTTCACATCAATTTAGAAACACTCGTTAATAAAATCAGAAATACATACTTCGTTTTTATTTATTTAATTGATTCTAATTAATATTTCTTAATTTTCGTATTTGTATTTTAACCAAAGAATTCTCAACGACGAAATAATAAAGAACGAATTTGTATACGTGAAATCGTTTATCCAAACTCGAATAGTTGCAAAAAAACTTTGTTTATACTACCTACTCGTTTGATATGTGGAGGAACGCTCGGCGCTACCACGTCTGGAATTAAGTCTGCAATAGCACGAACAAAAATCAAAACTCACCATTTAATTAGCAAGGCAATTTTTGGTTCTCTGTTATAAAAAAGAACAGATATTTTTTAAAATATTTAGAGGTAATGTTTAATGTAATTAAATATTTTATAGGTTAAAGAATTTCCTGTTCAATCACATAAATTCTTGGATAAGTTGGATAACTATGTATATCTATAAACAAGGATTAAACTGTTTCGAACGATAATGTCTGGAGACCTAAATTTAATCACGAACTGAACAATCTTTTTAAAGAGTCTCCACTATCAGAATTTATCAAACAGTTGGGATCATGCAGACTTATTTTAATGTTTTTATCTTGAAGTTGTTGTCGTGGTGATGAGAGCGAGATATTCATTTTCTTTTTCTTCCAGTTTTCAAAGAAATGACCCAAAGATATTCCCATAAATGGAAATCTTTATAAATAAAACATGCATTTTCTACAACAAAGTTTATTCGATAATTAACAAGGTATCAACACAGCCGCACATTTTATGTGTATATTAAGTTGCCTAACTACACTGCAATGTTATATTAATCTGCAAAAATAAATAAATATTATTTTAAAAATCTAATTATCATCTTCAGATTTAGTAACAGAAGACATTAAAATAGCAGTGGAAGTTGTGTTCTTAGTATTTTCGACATCCAAAGGACTATATTTCAATTTATTCCAACAATCCAACCAGAACGTTTTCGCATCCGAGTCAAAAACGATCGCAAACACAAAAATAACAAAACCTTGTAAAGGTGACAAAATTGCAAACGTATAAATCAGCGCTAATTGAACCCAGAGTGTTTGAACCGCGTGAGAAAGAACGCTAAAAATCCAAGTTAATCCTAACATAAAGAACAACATCACAGCTAACTTAGTTTGCAAAATTTTTTGTTTTTTATCTCTCGAAATGCTACCAGAAATTTTGAACATAACCAAACTAAAAATAATGATATTTGCAACAAGAATTGACGCAATGGGAATTATTAAGAAGTAAATAAACGCTTCGGATTTTGGATAACAAAAGTTAACATCTCCGGAATTGTAATGATCGGGGAATATTCCCGCTGAAATTCCGACTATTATAATCGGGATTGAGAAAGCGATGAAAGTGGTGATTAAGAAGTTTCGGGATCTATTTCTGCTGGTTAAAACGGTGACGAAATTTTCGAATTGCCTCCTGGCGATGAAAAACATCACAACGAATTTTACAAGAACTAAATAATGCATTGTAATCCCAAAAAATTTGCAAAATAAACCATCGATAATCGTAATTACATCGTTTAAAAAAATTAAAATGATTTCCAAAGTTATTACAGCCGAAATTTGGATTGTATTAATTCGTTTTCTGTACCATTTTTTTATAAAGAAACAAGTTATAAATATTATAATTAATCCTATTAACGAAAACGAACATAAAATCGTACTAATTATTTGCAAAATTATTTGATTCGTTTCCGATAAATTTTCGAAAATTCTATCAGAAATTCCTAATAAAACAAACGCGGTTAAATGATTCGTTCTACACTCAACAAGATCATCACTTAATCTTATCGTTTCAACACCATCAATTGACCAATTTCCAACTTCACCTTCAAACCTCCAAAACGAACAATTAACTTCAATTAAAGGATCAACGGGTAAATAGATGCTAATTGTATTATTCAAGATTTGTGCTACACCCAAAACTTTTAAATCGACGATATCACTAACGACGTTTCCTTCAAGAAATAAATTATTCGATTTAAAGGTCGTTAACATAGAAGTATTTAAAATATCAATCGGGATTTTCACAACTACGTTATTAAAATTAATATTGAAGTAATCTTCTTTTGAGTTAGTTTGAGGTTCGATTAATTCAAACGCAACGTTTGTTAAATTTATCGAATAAGATTCCGTTTCTTCCGATAAACCGATTACGAAATTATCTGTGGATTTAATGATCTTATCGGTTGAGCCAAAATTTCGCGAAGACTTAAATACGGATTGATTCGCGTAGAGTAAATTATTTATGACACTAAAAAACGACTCTTTATGCTCTATTTTTGTAGGCTGATGTGATGCGTTCTCTAAGATATTCGCTGTTAATTCAACGTCTAATTCAGTTAATATTGCGTTTTGATTCTTGATGTATGCCGATACATCATTTAATGTATTTGCAGAAAATTGGTTATTTGCCGAACTCAAAAACGTTGTTAAATTTGATAAGTTGGGGTAATTACAAGGGTTGTAAATTTTTGACCAAGTTGGAATTCCATTAATTATTTCGCATCTTCTCATAGTAAAGGTTCCATCGTTATTTCTGCATGGGTTTACGCAAGGAAAAACGAATCTTTTGCTTACGGTCGTTTCGCACCAAGTTTGATTTAATAATCCGTGAGTAATGTTCTCAAAACAAAATCTTGACGGATTTTCTTCGATCGAATTAACATTTTCGTCAATTAAACTCATGGATTCATTTTGGTAATATTCCTCGGAAGAATCCTAAAAATTGTTTAAACTGGTTTATGTAATCAATATGTTAAAGAAGAGCAAGATTTACTTACATCGCCACCACAAAACTTAAACATAACACTTGTATATACAAAAACAACAAGAAACTTATTCGGTAACTTTGAAGTTTGACACCGCATGTTGAATCATCGACTACGGGTTTTAAAATGCTGATACACAGATAATAAAACGTTATCGTAATCAAGCATTCATGTTATTTGTAATCGTAAATAAAGGTACGATAAAATCAAATATTAGTCCATTCGTGATCCGTTTATCTTTGTTTTTATAATCTTCATGTTCAACTACTTCCTCATTATTTTATGATTTACAACAATATTCTTTTTTAAATCTGAAGTGGTACACCAAATTGCCGAGATTTTACGCTTCCATACAGCCCCAGGCTATAATAATTCACAAAGGTTGTGAAGTTTACAAGAGAAAGTTAAAAGAGCCAAAAATTACAACAGTACAGGCTGGTTCAAATTCGATGTCCGAATAGGCTAACTCGGAAACTATAAGAGTTAGAAAAAAAGTAGCTTACATGTCATGATCTCGTTTTTCGAGAAACTCCTAATGCCGAAAACCTCATATCGCTATCGTCTTTTGTTTTTCCGCTAGAGGCCAAAATTGAAAATATTATATAATTATCTTGGTTATTATTATAGGTGGAGTATTATAACTAAGACATTATATGGACACTTTTTTACAGGGAATTTGATGACGTAGCCAAAAAAATTGTTTCGGTTTTAGATTTTGAGATATTATCACAATTTTCGTTTTTTTAAATGGAAACAACCACTAATTATTCGCTTATTAAATTCGTTATTTTTTTCTGATTACAAAAATATAGGGTTTGACAGGTCTATTTCTTATTGTTTTAGAATAAAGCTAAAAATAAACTTTTCTTTTAGTGTTGTCTAGTGATGTAAAAAAAGTAACAATTCGTTACACGAGCACTCGTTACTCCGCGAGATCCGAAGTAACTGTTACCGTATCACATCGGTACCAGTTACTTTGGATCTAACAGTTACTTTTTCCAAAGGCCAAGTATTGTTGGATAGGCGAAATCGACTTAAAAGTCGAAATGCGCAACAAAATTTATTTTTACATTGCAATAATAAGCTGTAATATCTTTCATTGTTGTTTTAATATTTTTATTTTATTTTATTATTGCTTGTGTTATAGAAGAAGTTTTGTTTTCCATTGTTAATGTTTTATTACTTTCAAATATTTTTGTTATACAGGGTGTCTCAGCGAGACCGGTCATTAGACGTTTCTGGGGTTCTAGCGAAAATAAAAATTTGTAAATTCAGACTTAAGTATTATCAATTACGATCTCTTCGTCTAAAATATTTTCAGATTTCTTGCACTTCCGGTTATACCGGAAGTCGCCACCAACTTTATTTTTTTAAATGGAACACCCTGTATATCTTTACATATTTGGATTTGTCTGTTTTCAAAGTTTATAAATAACTTTACTTTTTGCAATTTGATTCGGCCGTTCTCGAGTTATTCGAATTTTTCTAGAAAAATCTGCTCCAGCAGACATTTGTTCAAAAAATTAGAAAACACTCGATTTTTGAGATATCAATTTAGGATTCAGAACATGCTTAAACAACATGATGGAGTATGTTTTGGTGCCAAGAACGGCTGTCTAGATCGTTTGGTCACTTTACTATGACACGTTAACTTTTCGAAATTTGGAAGCACTATAACTTCATTTTTTTAAATGGCACCCCCCATATTTTATTTTTTAGTCGTCTTCGGTGTCTCATTCTACATCTTTTATATCCCATATGGCCCATACCTAATATTAATAGTTTGGGAGATAATTAGGGTTTTTTGAAAAATGCACACATATCATATGGATATTTAGCCTAGTGTGCCATGAAAAACAAGCCTTCTCAATGAGTTCTTGTCAAAGACTCACTTGTTTACGTCACTTGATGCATGTGAGCTAATAATTATCTGTTATGTCCCTTAATATTAGTACTGAAACGAGTTAAAATCGATAACAATAACGAAAGTAATATTTACACAAATCAAGAAATTCTTAATTTATTTTTTATGCATGAAAAGCGCGACAAAGTTCGTAGTATGATTCCCAGATCTTCTTTGGCAGCTCGAATTGAGGTGTTGGGACTGGGCTCGAAATAAGCCAAGGTATTCACCTCTTCCGTTGCATTATCTATTACATTTTTTGGTCAGTTTAACACGTGATTAACTCGTCCAAAATGCAAAAATTTTGCTTCTATTCTTCTAAATTTACCTTTTGTCATCGGAGATAAATGTGGATAATTTTCATTAAACATTCTGCAAGTTAGTTCTACTAAGAACTTTGTCGCATTTTTCGTGCACAAAAAATAAATTATGGATTTCATTTGTATAAACATTATTTACGTTATTAATATCCATTTTAACTGGTTTTAATAATAATAATAATAATAAATAAATTTATTGCCATAATAAGAAACAAAAAATACAAATTAAAGAAAATGTATACATTTAACTTAATACATAAATACGGGCAAAAGGGTCGATTTATCGCGTAAGCGATATCTTCCAAACAACCCAATCAATCAGCAGTATACTAAGTTATATAGAAAAACAATAAATGAACGGCAAGCTGCTATGCTAAACTTATGGTCACCAAAAACGGTGCATAATGATAGTTGCTGGAATAAAAGAAGAAGAGAAGAGAAGAAAAGTAGAAGAAGAGAAGAAAAGGGAGAAGAAAAAGTTTTCAGGAAGATACTTGAAGAGCCAATAAATGACGTTTTAGGTGGTTTTTAAATGTTACAAGGTGAGGAATATTACGGATCTCAGTAGGCAGACTATTCCAAAGGGTTACTGCCTGCACAGCAAACGATTTATGGTAAATCTCGGTACTATGGGTCGGGAACATAAGCACAGAATCTAACTGAGATCTAGTAGGTAAACCATGCGACGACAAGCGTTGAAATATACAATACAAATACCTTGGGGTTTGATTGTGAAGAACAGTATATAACATAGTTAATATACGAAACGATCTACGGTTCTGACAGCTTAATATCTGCAAATAATTACGGTATGGGGTTATGTGTTGAGATCTCTCGAGATCAAAGATATACCGTATGCAGTTGTTTTGAAGTCTTTGCAGTTTGTTTCGTAGTGTTACCGAAAGATCAGGATATGCCGTGTCAGCATAATCAATATGGGGGAAAATCAGGGAAAAACAAAGATTACGACGGATCATGGGAGGAAGGAAGCAACGGAGACTTTTCAGTGAGTGGAAACAATGATAGACCTTTCTGCAGACGGATTGAATTTGAGGTTTCCAGGACATTGTAGAATCCATAACCACCCCAAGGTTTCTAACCGTGTCTGACAGCTGAATAATGTCTCCGTCAAGCANATCGATATGATATGTGAGCATTTTTCAAAAAACCCTAATTATTTCTCAAACTATTAATGTTAGGCATAGGACATATGGAATATAAAAGATGTAAAATGAGACGCCGAAGACGACTAAGTAATAAAATATGAGGTGTGCCATTTAAAAAAATGAAGTTATGGTACTTCCAAACTTCGAAAAGTTAACGTCTCATTGTAAAGTGACCAAACGATCTAGACAGCCGTTCTTGGCACCAAAACATACTCCATCATGTTGTTTAAGCATGTTCCGAATCCTAAATTGATATCTCAAAAATTGAGTGTTCTATGATTTTTTGAACAAATGTCTGATGGAGCAGATTTTTCTAGAAAAAATCGAATAACTCGAGAACGGCCGAATCAAATTGCAAAAAGGAAACTTATTTATAAACCTTCATAACAGACAAATCCAAATATGTAAAAATATACAGGGTGTTCCATTTAAAAGAATAAAGTAGGTGGCGACTTCCGGTATAACCGGAAGTGCTAGAAATCTGAAAATATTTTCGATGAAGAGAACGTAATTGATAATACTTGAGTCTGCATTCTCAAATTTTTTGTTTGGCCAGAACCCCAGAAACGTCTAATGACCGGTCTCGCTGAGACACCCTGTATAATAAGTGAAAAGTAAGTTATTAATAATTAAGAAAAATTCTTCATTATATTCAATATGCGGTGAAAAAGTAAATCCCATAACCTACACTCTATTTTTTGATATTAGTGCACAGTGCATAATAGCGTAACAAACACAATATAATATACGTACAGTATTTGTTTTCAAAAATAAGTGTAATATAAAATAAATTCATATAAGTATGTAGTTCAACTAAAAGGAGTAATCGAACCTCGAGCGCAAACTAGTACTGGAACCTCAAGCGCAAACGATTACTTGTAACGAGTAACGAGTACAAAGTAACGAATACTTTTTCTGAAAGTAACGGATAGTTACAAATACTAAAAAGTAACTAAACTTTACATCACTAACTAAACATCTCTCAAGGCGGCNAAATCCTGTTTTTAAGATCAATTACGAAAATTTTGAAAAGTTTGATATGTTAGAATGTTACATATTAAAAAATGATTTGTTTTTAAATACCAGAAGTTATTTTCTTATTTAATTGTTAACTTTTTAGATTTTACCTACCGCCCCGTAACTTACAGGAAACTGTAAATTTAATTTCGTTGACGACACTAGATGGAAATTTTATGAAAAAAGTTTATTTTTAGCTTTATTCTAAAACAATAAGAAATAGACCTGTCGAACCCTATATTTTTGTAATCAGAAAAAAATAACGAATTTAATAAGCGAATAATCAGTGGTTGTTTCCATTTAAAAAAATGAAAATTGTCATGATATCTCAAAATCTAAAACCGAACAAATTCTCTTGACTACGTCATCAAATTCTCTGTAAAAAAGTGTCCATATAATGTCTGAGTTATAATACTCCACCCATAATAATAACCAAGATAATTGCACTTGCTGGTTTTACGATATTTTCAAATAGCAACATAACTTTTAAATACATATATTAGTTTTAGACAGAACAAAATGAATTTTTGTTAATTATTCAAAAACTATAAGAAATATATCCCACAAACTATATATATTTGTTATCAGAAGAAAATAACAAATTATTTTAAGTCATAGCCAACTATGGTTTCCATTTAAAAAAATAAAGTTACGTCTAAAATCTCGAAAATAAAAGATGGGAAAAAATTTCTACCTACGCCACTGAATTCTTCGTAAAAAGTTGCCCATATAATGTTTTATTTATAATACTCCATCTTTGATAATAAGTGAGATATTCGCGAATGTCGTTTTCGCAAAATTTTCATTTTTTGCCGATAGGGCGAAAACAAAAGACCATAGCTGTTCGGAGTTTTCGGCATTAGCATTTTCTCGAAAAACAAGATCATGACATGTAAGCTACTTTTTTTCTAATTCTTTTTCTAATTCTAGTTTCTGAGTTAGCCTATTCGGACATCGAATTTGAACCACCCTGTACAACGCACATACGGGTATTTGAGCAATCTACGCGGCCAAAATTTCTTTATTACATACTAGATTTTTGGCGATTGTTTCTAAACGATATAAAGGATATAACAATAGTTTATTTTATGAAAAATATGATCGAGGAAGGAAAAAATTACAAATGAATCTTCGTCAGAAATAACTCCTTCTTCGTCATTTTCGGATGGAAGAACTATTGGGTTTGGCTGTGCTGGCAGAAGCATGAGCCTCATGAACCATCAACATGGTTTCAGAAAGAAACGAATACAATTTTTTTTTTAAGTCCTTATGCTACTGAGTAGGGATTCTGACCTTAAGAGAAGTGGGTTGAATATGTATATCTCTATTACAGGACTCGCGAAAATTTCCTTGAAAAATCTTGGCGATATGTCCTAAAATGCTTGTTGTGCGCCTCCTCAGATAGTTGACCCATAGCTAATAATGTATTTTTTATTATAACTGTTCCGTGAATTAATATCTTGTGCATTGTCATTGGATGCCAAGAATACAATTCGACATATAAACGAGCAGTCGCCAGTGCATATTTCTCGTATTTTGCCACATCTATCAAGAATCCGCTTGAAATGGTTTCCAGTATAATTTTCAACCTATAAATGAACTCGTAACTCATGCCCGTAATCTCTGAAGCTAATTTCGGATGATTTCATGTTGCCATCATTCGTATTATCGAAATTTGTGTTTGGCATATCTAGTAACACCAGTTTCTTTGCGAAATTTGACCTGTTTTTCTATTTTCCTCTCTTTTTCCATTTGTTTCTCCTTTTCTGTATTTCTTTACGGAAAATTTGTATGCCAAATGGAGAATGCTTTCGAAAAATCTTATCCTTGCATGTAAAATTGACAGCCCAAATTCAAGAGCTTCAAATGAAATTTGTTTTTGTTATTCAGTTGGTTAAAGTCTTTGGAAGTCGCACCACAATTATAGCAACAACTTGTAAATGTTGTGCCAGTAGCTGCGTTGCAAACTTTTCTATCAACCATTGTTATTATAAACAGATGTTTGACGAAAAACTTCTTTAATGAAAGATGCTGATAGAAGACTCGATACTGATAATGAAATACATACTAGATAATGTTAATAGAAGACTTGTTACTCTTTTCAGAAGATCTTGTAGAAAACTGCTTAACGCGGGCGGAAGTCTACACATTGTTTGTAACAACTAGGTTCTTCTTGCAGAAAATTAGATACTATCAATGGATAGATACTGTTAATATAAAATTATATGTTGCTAGTTAAAGACTTGACACTGCTACTGGAACACTAAATACTACTAATAGAAGACTAGATACTACATGCAGAAGAGTAAATATTGCAGAAGATTAATTTCTTCGGTCAGAGGATACCGCTGATGTTGTTAGTGTAAACTAGATACGTCTTGCAGAAGACTTAGAATAATAAAAAAAAATATATATGTTGTCGTTTACTTAAGCTGAGGTCGCTTGCGACCGAAGCGGAATTACTACTACATCGAACCAATATTAAGCAACCCGCTCAATACAATATTGTATAATATATATTACAGTGCCTCGACTTATATTTCGGCAAAAATATATGACGCCGTCTATTTAAGTTGAGCTAAAGAGTGCTATAGAATGCTAGACACTGCTTACAGAAAACCATATACTATTAACAAAAGATTTGTTACTGCTAATGGAGGACTCGACACTGCTAATAGAAGAATAGTTACTGCTTGTAGAAGATTATATACTGTCAATGACAGATCATATACTGCTAATAGAAGACTATATGGTGCTTGAAAAGATTAGATTCTATTAGTAGAAGATAAGGTATGACTAAATACGATAGACGGGTCGAAATCTTATGTATAATGTCGGGCGGGTTGAGTATATCATAATTTTGGTGTCGTCTAATTAATTTCAACTAAACTAGTTCTAAACTAGACCTTCTGGGCAGCTTTGATTGTTACTAAAATATTAAAACCTCAACATGAATTCAAACTTTCTTTGCTTAATATTTAGAATATCATAATTTTTTTCTCCCATAATGTTACGTGGGAGAATGGAGAAGACGAATGGAAAAGCAGCTGGAGGACAAGGTAGTACTAGAAACAGTGAAGACAGGAGGCTTGGTATTGACCGAAAAAATTAAAGAACTCTTCATAATCATCCCTATACAGGTGTCCTGTATCTTCCGGATCAGAGCATTATACGGTTGTAGGATACATTATTCTGAAGTGATTTTTTTAATACATTTTTTTCGATATGTGTACTCACCAATAGATTCGACACGGAAAGAGAAATAAACTTTTTCCGTGAATATTAAATTCCGCTATTGGACGGCTTTAAACAGGTCCCGTGCGGTTATTATAAATATTTCGAAAAAAATTTATTAGAAAAATCGTTTCAAAATAATATATCCAACAACCGTATAATGCTCTGATCCGGAAGATACAGGACACCCTTATACAAGAATAAATAAAATCAAAGCAATATACCTCATTACTATCATTGCAAAGCTATACTCCAGAATCCTGGAGAGGCGCCTTGAAGGACGTGCATTGAATGACGAAGATTTCATTTTCTCTCTGTGCTGTATAACTGATAAGTGGATCAATTTGTATATCTAAGTTTCTTGGATATGCACTCTTCGTTTGATGAGGTGCCAAAGCATGAGGTCTGGAAAGTACTACAGAAGAAAGGGACTCCCCCCACAACTGATGCCATCAAATGGTTCTTGATTTTGTAATGCTGCAGCAACTTCCAGATTAATTCCATATGTCCAACCAATATACAACAATTATCTTCTCTTTCATGAAACGAAATATAATCGGGCGGCAAAATCGTGGAGAAGAAAGTGTTGAATTTTCTCATAGTACTCATTCAGAGTCTTTGCCACAAACTAATCGCACAGGTACAAAGCAGCTCTGAAAAATATTTGCATTCATCAAATTTTTGCTTGAACTGTGATTGCTGCGATCCATCGCATCCCCATTTACATATAATTTTTAATGTATCCCTTTCTTGCTCTACTATTGTTGATATGACCTCTTTAAGGAATTCAGATAAGCGTTTAACAGCAATATCGACTAAAGGCAATTGGCTTTCGGCGCTGACACTCGTGGCTGTTCTTTGATACTCTTTTTTTACTTGCCATATAAGATTATAACACGGGAAGAACTTTTTATTATTATTTCGAATTATATTGATTATTTTTAAGAAAAAATCTTCCTTTCTATGGGCTTTATCCATCTTGATTTTACTTCGGATTTGAAATGTGCGAAATGCGAAAAGCTGTCAATGCTGAAGTATATAAATGTAAATCCAGCTACCATTGGAAATAATAAGACTCAAGAAACTACAAGACCACCCACGTTTAATTAATGTTTCCTATCAGTTCCTAAATAGTTATCTTCCAACAAAATTACGTATAACAAATCGCTGTTACAAAAAAATAAATGAATATAAACGGAAATTGAACTTGTAGAGAGTAACACCTATAAATCTGAAACAGAAAAGTTTTGGGATAAATCATCATTCTCAATATATATATATATATATTCCATACTTTTTTTTATTTTAAGTTACGTATAATACAATTGAAAATTAAAAAAATAATAATACTTAATCCTAAATAAAAAATAAAACGCTTCGTTTCGTCGAAACGGATCGCCTAAAATAAAATAAATCGTAAAAACTATAGAATCTTCTCTAATCAGTACTTTTTACAAAAAAATACGCTATTTACCTAAACTAACCAATTAAAGATAAAAAATAAGAGAGTACATGTACAAGAGATGTAATTATAATTTATATAAAAAGTTTATAACAACAACGGAAAGACATACATAATATATCCTTCTAAAGAGTCCTTTTTTTTTGTTATACTTGATTCATATTATTCAGAGTGATATAAAAAAATATACTTACTTTAAATATTGTATGTCTTGATTGGCGAATAAAAGGCTACGCACAAAAGGAATCACAGATCGTAAGCCTAATTTATAAGATCCACAGAAAAACATATTAAACGAACTAAAATGATTATAAGTGGCGGAACTATTTTAAAAAGATTTTTTTTATAAAAACCCTACCTCTACGTCGTCAATATATATAAAAAAACTATATACATTTTATTAAAAAATATGTAGATAAAATATTACAAGAACTTTTTTATCTTCTTACCGGCTACGTCATTCACGTTTGAAAAGGCACGATGATTCCAATGTATTTTTGTTAATTAATTACTATTACTATTATTAGTTAGTTATCCTTGCTCTAAATAAATACTCCAAAAAATCATACATTTATATAACTTATACAAAAAAAGGGAAAGGAGGAATACTGAGAAAAAGAAATTAAAAAAATAATATGGGATGAATCAAAATAAATGGAAAGTTATTAGAAATAAATTAATTTTTTGCCATAATTTCAATTTAAATGATAATAAAAGTTATATGAGAAATTATTCAAATATCTTGAAACATCCCAATAAAAAAAAATAATTATTTGGCAAACCTTAAATATAAATAGCCTCAGAACCTTTGTTCGTCTGATGACCGGCGGATGTGTACGTTGTCGGACTTTCAGTCCAATCAGAAACGCTAGAAATCGGCGAACTGGTCGACCAGTGTTCCGGACTTTCCGGACTTGGCGTCGGAAAATGTTCGCTGATATGCTGCGATGGTGGCGTCGCGACATCCGTCGAATGTTGCGAAGGAGGTGTCAAATAAAAACTTTGTTGCTGCTGTTGAAACTGTTGCGGTTGCAATGCAGCAGCCGGAGCGGCTTGTTGTCCAGCCGATGAGTAAGCCATCGGTAAATCTAACCCAGCCTGGCTAAAATCGAACCCCATCGGTAACGTTTGTGCCTGCGGTATACCACCGTGCTTCTGTTGAGTTGCAGCTCGCATCGCTGCGATATGCGTAGGACTGGTGGGTAAAGAAGGCCGCGTTTTCGCCGGTGACGGTGATCCACCGTACGCTTGCTGCGGCGACATCGACATGTTCGATTGAACGGAATGCGGGGGCGATTGATTCGAATACGGCGGACTCAACGTGTTCTGTTGCATTTGACGCATCATCATCGCATCTTGGAAAGTAGCCAAAAATGCGCCCCCGTAATTTTCGATATTTACCAAATTGTGTAATGCGTTACTTTTAATCACATCATCATAACTAGGAGGTTGTTTATTAGTTGTAGTCATTAACGCTTCTAAACCAGTCGCAGCGATACCCATGTTAGAATACATCGATGTGGTATCATAGGGACTTGGAAGATTTGTTATTGGGGATTCAACGGGACTTAAAGCGGCGGATAAAGCGTCGACGGGTAATTCGGTGGCGTGTTGAAGATTGTTTTGGGATTTCTTCGTGGGCTTTTTAACGCTCGCTTTTCTTCTGATGCTACTCCCCGTGCAAGCGCCTTCTACTTCTGGACTTGTAGGACCCATTGGGTTGTTGTTGTTTGAGCTGTTTTTAGTGGGCCTTTTTGATTTTTGACGTTTTGGAACGATTACCGTTGGATGTTGAATCATTTGACCACTTGGAGAAGCTAAAATTAAAATTTTATTTATTAATTTATTCCAGTTTACAATAATCAAGTCCGCTTTTTACAAATCTTGATCAATTTTTCAGATAGATAAATCTCAATGAGTGCTGGATTTAACTATCTATGGGATAAATTTATCAAGAGGTGATAAAAGTGGACTTTAATCGGGGGTAAATACACAAGAGCTTGACTTTTAATCGGATAATTTTATTTTTACACGAAAGTTTTGTTACCATGGAAATAATTCGTAATTAATTTTATCTTTTGATTTTGATTGAGAGTTATTTCCAAAGGGTAACAAAACTTGAGTGAATTAAAAATAAAATTATCCTGATTTAAAATCAAGCTCGAGCGTATTTTAGGGAGATTAATACACAACAATTGCACAATTTATCAACAATTTTCAATTATTTATTAACTATTTTTGACTTAATTACACTTGTCAAAAATGTGACAGGTAAACAAAAGTATATACAGGGTGTATCTGAATGACTGCAACAAACTTCGAGGGGCGATTCTTTAGTGAATTTTAAGGGTACTTTCATATATGCACCATGGGCGACTTCGGCCCCCCTGGGGAGCTACGCCCCTTCAAAAATGGCGGAAAATTTTGGTTTAATTTTTTTTTCTCAAAAACCGTAAACGCTAGGAAAATGAAATTTGGGGAATATGTTTAACTCATAATAGAGCACGTGTTGACCCTATTTGTACTTTCATCCTACCCTTCTAAACTACTAAACGTAACCACCCCCTTTACATTTTTGCTAAATTTTTTTGTATGCAGATGATAAATACATTAGAAAAATTTTACATAGCTAGATAAAAGTATCCTAAAACTTTTTTGTCTCTCTAAAATTTTCTCAAAAACGACTAATTTATGAGAAAAAAAAATAATAAAGCAAACACAATCAAAAGTTGGAATGAATTTTTAATGAAAAAATCTTAGTGGGCTTTCCAATCTTTATCAGAAATATTTTTGACGTTTAAATGTCAATGTTTTTCTTACTATTATTATTGTTTTTCAAATTAATTTTTGAATAAAGTTCTATGACATTTAGGCTCAAAATTTTAAATAAAATAATAATAATAATAAGAAAACCACTGACATTTAAACGTCAAAAATATTTCTGACAAAGATTGCAAAGCCTACTAAGGTTTCTTCATTAAAAATTTATTCCAACTTTCGATTAACAACCCTACAGCTTAACAGTTAGTCAGAAATATTCTTCAGAGTGCAGGCATCATGAGTTGTGCTTTGATAGTGAATATAAAAGAATGTGAAAATAAAGTTTCAAGAATATTTATGGTAATGGATAATAACAATCAAATACCCAGTCTTTTAGAAATTTTTAGGAAATATACATCCTTGAGGCCAGTATCAATAAACTACAAGCGATTGTTTATACGATACGTTAACGGAAAATGTACTAGTCAACCTGTAGGCATCAATCAATTTGGAAGGATTCCCTTTAAAATTGCACAATTTCTGTCGTTGACAAATCCGAACTCAAACACCAAACATCCGCCTCTTTACTGGCAGATTCTGGTGTCGATATTTCTGCAATCAATCGTTATGGGGGCTGGAAGTCAACTGTCGTTGTGGATACCTTTAAAAATTTTTTAAGAAATAAAACGGAAGCTTCAAATAAGCTTTGTTCGTTGGGACTGCACTACTTGCACAAAGCAATTTCGTGCAGTTGCACTCATACTGTTCGTTGGGCCATGCGCAGTACAATTTCGTGCAGCCGGTGCAAGTTAGTGCAGATTTTGTTGCACCTGCTTTCGATTAAGTTCAATAAATGCAGTGTAACTAAAATGGCGGAATATTTGGAAGCGTGTTTTGTAATAAATGAAGATGGAGATAAAATCATCGAAAAGAATTGTTATTTGATTGTTGTAGGTAAGTAGCTATATTATATAGCTATTTATTATTTGTTATCATATTATTTGATTGTTTAAATTTAAAAAGGAAAATTTAAGCAAAGGCAGGAGTTAATCGAAGAAATGAAAACTCGTAATGAATTATTAAGACAACTGTTAAATAAAAAACAATGACGTCCTAAGTATTTTTTTATCTATGATTTATTTTTTATATCATTTTTTTTTCATCATTTTCAAATTTTATTTTTTTCAAATATCTTCGTCCACTTTCTTGATAAAAACCTATTCGTTGCGACCACGCTTTACACACTTTTCTAACCTGCACTCAGTTACACTTAATTTCACTATGACGTCATAATAGTGCCATGTCGTGCAGAGTAGGGAAGACCTAACGAACAAAGCTATAGAACCTCAACCTTCATGCTCTTATGTTACACATAATAATACGTCGACATTTTTGTTGACACTTGACCTCGACGTACTTGCCCGACACGTCGACAATGTCAAATGTCGACAACGTCAACAATTCGAGGTTATATTTGAGGTTATATTCGTTTGATGTATAGTGCGATTAGTTCGTGGTGATCTCATGATGAGTGGCAGAAACATCGATGGGTCGACAAAAATGTTTGTCGACCTGACGTTGGGCGCGGTCAGCGGACACAGCAGCTGAGTAGCTGAGCCACATCAGATTCCTGAACGGTATCGCTGGTTTACCGCGCTGGTTGTTTTTAACAGCGCTTTGGTTTGACATTTAAATGAAAGTGACAGAAAGTGGGTGAAGTCGTGAAGTGAGGTTAATATAATCCCACCTAGCCATGGCCTAACTTTGACATTCATACAACAAAATGGATGCTGAGGAAATAAGTAATGGTAAGTTTGTTCGTATTTAAATTATTTATAACAATAAGTATTTTACTATTGTATGAAATAACTAAATTGTATATTTTAACGGTAACATGCAACAGCCAACGTGGGTTTTCCACATTTTAACAGCATCTTAGGTTTTATTTGAATTCTTTTATTTTACTCTAGATGATTTAACCTATTACCTTGTTGACACCCAAGATAAAAATACAGAAGAAAACAGGAATATTAGTACTGTAGAAGAAGAAGGAAGGGGCGAACACTTCGATGTAGAAGTATATGAAGGTCTGTACATACAAGTATAACTATATATTCATGTATATAAATATGATTTGTGTAAATCTTGTAGATAAATTTATATGGACACATTCAGCAACAATGCTTTTCTTAGCGGAATATGAAAAGAGGAAGGACATGTTCCGAAATCCCAAAATTAAAAAGAAGAAGTTGTG